TGTGGGGGGTGGGGTTGGCCGGGGGGGGGGGCGGGTGTCAGCTCGAATGGGGGGCAGGTGTCGGCTCGCATGGGGGGCAGGTGTCGGCTCTCATGGGGGGCAGGTGTCGGCTCTCATGGGGGTGCCATCAAACCCCATTCCCATGCAGTTCTGTCTTCACCCCCAGGCCACACTTTGCATAGTGCCCACCTCCCACCACCAGTCCAGGGGCTCCTATTCGGTTTGGCTCCTGCACATAACCCACTGGGCTCCATCCTGGCTCGGCCCGGGCTGGGGGGTCCCCTGAAGAGAGGCTGGGGTGGGTCAACGGCACCCACCAGCCAGGCACTGAGCAGCATCGCCAATAAAACAGCCAATGAGAAAACATCTCCTAGGCTGCAAATAACCCCAGCGCCGAGGCTACAAACTGGGCGGCCACTGTGCCCTGGCACAGCATTTAACTGAAAGCACAAAAAGTGTTGCGGAAAGTGCAGGGAGAAATGCTCTGAGGTAAATAGGACGAAGTTTAATAAAGACAAATGCAAATTTCTCCACGTCGGAAGGAACAATCCGTGTCACACATACAGAATGGGAAGTGACTGGCTGGGAAGGAGTACTGCAGAAAAGGGTATAGGGGTCAGAGTGGATCACAAGCTAAATTTGAGTCAACCGTGTGACATTGATGCAAAAAAGCAAACCTGATTCTGGGCTGCCTTAACTGGTGTGTTGTGAGCAAGACAGGAGAAGTCGTTCTTCTACTCTACTCTGCACTGGTTAGGCCTCAGTTGGAGTACTGTGTCCAGTTCTGGGCACCATATGTCAAGAAAATGTCGAGAAATTGGAGAGGGTCCAGAGAGGAGCAACAAAAATAATGAAAGGTCTAGAGAACATGAGCTATGAGGGAAGACTGAAAGAACTGGGCTAGTTTGGTTTGGAAAGGAGAAGATTGAGAAGGGACATGAGAGCAGTTTTCAAGTATGTAAAAGAGTGTCACAAGGAGGAGGGAGAAAAATTGTTCTGCTTGGCCTCTGAGGTTAGGACAAGAAGCAATGGGCTTAAACTGCAGCAAGGGAAGTTTAGGTTGGACATTAGGAAAAATTGCCTACCTGTCAGGGTGGTCAAACACTGGGATAAATTGCCTAGGGGGGTTGTGGAATCTCCATCTCTGGAGCTATTTAAGAGTAGGTTAGACACACACCTGTCAGGGATGGTGCTTGGTCCTGCTGTAAGGGCAGGGGACTGGACTTGATGATCTCTCAAGGTCCCTTCAAGTTCTAGGATTCCAAGATGTTTTCAGGGAGGCGAAACACCAGGAGGATGGGCTTGGCCTGGGAGAGGGGAATGGGACTGACTCCTCTGACAAAGACGCCCAGCCCTGGGGCAGCCCCTAAGGCTCCCAGTGACACAGAAAACACATGGGGGTGGGGTGGAGGTATGTGTGACTTGGGTCTGGATGGATACAGGAGTGAACCAGCATGGGTGTGGTCCCTGCCCCTCAATTATCTGTACCCTTGGGTCGACCTTCATAGACTCATAGACTTTAAGGTCAGAAGGGACCATTATGATCATCTAGTCTGACCCCCTGCACGGTACAGGCCACAGAATCTCACCCACCCCCTCCTAGAATAATCCTCTCACCTATATCTCAGATATTGAAGCCTTCAAATAGCTTAAAGACCCCAAGATGCAGAGAATCCTCCAGCTGTGATCTGTGCCCCATGCTACAGAGGAAGGCGAAAAACCTCCAGGGCCTCTGCCAATCTACCCTGGAGGAAAATTCCTTCCCGACCCCAAATATGGCGATCAGCTAAACCCTGAGCATGTGGGCAAGACTCACCAGCCAGACACCCAGAAAGTTCCCTATAGCAACTCCTATCATCCCTCCATTGACCTATTTCCAACTGATAATGAATGGTCAATTAGTTACCAAGATCATGTTATTTCATCCAACCATCCCCTTATCATAGAATCAGTACTGGAAGAGACCTCAGAAGGTCGTCAAGTCCAGCCCTCCGCTCTAGGCAGGACCAATCCCATCTAAATCAACCCGGCCAGGGCTTTGTCAAGCCGAGACTTAAACACCTCTAGGGATGGAGACTCCACTACTTCCCTAGGTAACCCATTCCAATGCTTCACTACCCTCCTAGTAAAATAGTTTTTCCTAATATCCAATCTGGCCCTCTCCCACCACAACTTGAGACCATTGCTCCTTGTTCTGCCATCTGTCACTACTGAGAACAGCCTCTCTCCATCCTCTTTGGAACCTCCCTTCAGGAAGTTGAAGGCTGCTATCAAGTCCCCCCTCACTCTTCGCTTCTGCAGACTAAACAGACCCAAGTCCCTCAGCCTCTCCTCGTAGGTCATATGCTCCAGACCCCTAATCATTTTGGTTGCCCTCCGCTGGACCCTCTCCAATGCGTCCGCATCCTTTTTGTAGTGGGGGGCCCAGAACTGGACACAGTACTCCAGATGTGGCCTCACCAAAGCCGAATAAAGGGGAATAATGACATCTCTGGATCTGCTGGCAATGCTCCTCTTAATGCATCCTAATATGCCATTAGCCTTCTTGGCTACAAGGGCACACTGTTGACTCATATCTAGCTTCTCATCCACTGTAACCCCCAGGTCCTTTTCTGCAGAACTACTACTTAACTGGTTGGTCCCCAGCCTGTAACTATGCTTGGGATTCTTCCGTCCCAAGTGCAGGACTCTACACTTGTCTTTGTTGAATCTCATGAGATTTCTAGTGGCCCAATCCTCCAATTTGTCTAAGTCACTCTGGACCCTATCTCTGCCCTTAAGCGTATCTACCTCTCCCCCTAGCTTAGTGTCATCTGCAAACTTGCTGAGGGTGCAATCTATCCCCTCATCCAGGTCATTAATAAAGATATTGAACAAAACCGGTCCTAGAACCGAACCTTGGGGCACTCCACTAGGGACCCTGTGCCCCTAAGTCTCTTTGCACCCCTCCCCTCCATCCTTACCCCACTGCCCATCTCCAAAGCACTCCTTGCCCTGGGCTGGGATGAATATTTTAGCAGGGTGGTGGATTGGGTTCCCAGGCCAGGTGTTTCCATCTCACATAGCCCAGCTGGCACTCAGCCAGCCCTGGGGCCATGATCTTCCCCCCACAGGCCGCTTCAGGTTCTCTTTAATATTAACGGCCAGCTCCTGAAGTGGTGAAACCAGACACCCCCCTCAAGCAGCATCTGCTTAGGGACCCCTCTGTATTGAGTGGGGGGGGGGGCAGGCCTGAGCTGGCAGAGGCTGCAGGTTGGGAGTGAGGGGCCCCCGTGGGAAGCTGGGCTAGCAGGGGCTGCAGGCTACAGTGTCTCCCATCAAACTTCACTTGGACACAGAATCTTTATTTCCTCTTGTGCAGATGCTGAAAAGCATCCTTGCCCTGCCTCAGAGGTGGCCACATCTCCGCACTGGGTGAGGGATCCCTGTGGAACCAGCCGCCCTGCCCCGAGGTGGCCACATCTCCGCACTGGGTGAGGGATCCCTGTGGAACCAGCCGCCCTGCCCCGAGGTGGCCACATCTCCGCACTGGGTGAGGGATCCCTGTGGAACCAGCCGCCCTGCCCCGAGGTGGCCACATCTCTGCACCAGGCGAGGGATCCCTGTGGAACCAGCCACCCTGCCCCGAGGTGGCTGTTTCAGAAACTCACCCACCTGTGTTGAGCATGGGGAGGGGGGAGGGGGCTGTGGATGTGCCCTACCTGTGGCTGTTCCAAGGCTGTGCTTTCTCCCTGCAGCCCTGCTAGCTAGGCAGCATGAAGCTGGAGCTGGGACTGAGCACAGATGGGCAGCTGCAGTTCGTGGTGGCGACGGAGAAGGATTTTGAGGAGGTTGTGGCAATGTCCAAGGGCATCTACGGGGGCCTGGATTATCTCCCGAGCCGCTACCACGCCTGGCTCCACGAGCCCAACCGCACCGTGGTGCTGGCCAAGAAGAATGGAGAAGTGGTGAGTGGGAAGCCGCACCAGGCAGTGCCTGCAGTGGGGAGCACTGGGGCCTGAGGGCTCCTTGCTCCCAGGGCGGAGTAGGCTGGCTGAGAGCTCCCCAAGTAAACAGCTCTCCTTGATACCCCCCAGAGGTGGCTGCACCTGAGGCCTGTGTTCCTGCCATCCCCTCACTGTGTAGCTAGCAACAGGCTCTCCCAGGCGATCTGAATCCCAGCGGTCCTGCCTGTGCCCTCCCTCTGTTCCCCCCACGGCCCTGCTTCCTTCCCCATTTCTCATCTCCCAGAGGGCTGCCTGTGCTGACCTGCTTTGAGCTGCGGCGTTATCGACCCCTGTCACTGGTTGATATAGATCAGCCTGCGTCAAAGCCAGAGCTGGGCATGGTGCCCATGAACCCCGGCCCCTGCTCCCTCTGCCCTGCTGAGCCATGACAGGCCAGGCATGGCGCAGGAGCCATGTGCCACAGGGGGCCAGCAGGCGTGGGGCTAATGTGGCTTCAGCGCTGAGCCCATGGAAATGGGTGACACAGGAGCGAATTGGTCTTTGTGCTCAACACTTGGGGGGCGTTCCAGGGGGGGCACCGTGTGCCCTCTGCCCAGTCACAGATGCCTGGTATGAGCAGTGTCACACTCAGACCTGGCCCATGGGAACCAACCAAGTGATGAGTTCTCAGGGGCTGCAGGAAATGCCGAGAGCCAGGTCTGGCAGTCGCCTGAGACAGGGGAAAATATGCTGCAAGTCATCTTCTGTCACATCTAGTCTGGTAATGCTGAAAATCCTGGGGCAGGGCCCCATGGGGCTGGTGCTGCCCAGACCCAGCTGGGATCAGGGCCCTTGGAACCGGCGCTGCCCATGGGATCCAGGCCCGTGGGAGCAAGGCCAGGAGATTGGGTGATGAGGGCAATCGGGCTGAGTTGGGAGCTAGCCGGGGCAGGATACGTTCCATGGGCTTGTTAACCCCCACAGGCCAGGAGACCCAGGCTGGGGAATGGCACGAAGCAAACACAGCTCCCCTCTCCTGTGTTTATATCTGCCCTGGGCATCACGAGCCCATGGGATCCAGGCCCGTGGGAGCAAGGCCAGGAGATTGGGTGATGAGGGCAATCGGGCTGAGTTGGGAGCTAGCCGGGGCAGGATACGTTCCATGGGCTTGTTAACCCCCACAGGCCAGGAGACCCAGGCTGGGGAATGGCACGAAGCAAACACAGCTCCCCTCTCCTGTGTTTATATCTGCCCTGGGCATCACGAGCCCAGCCCCTGCCGGTGGATTGGCGCAGGAATGAGTCATCCTCGCATGTGCCTTAATCAGGCTGTAATTCAGGGATGACTCATCACGCCCCCCCATTCCCACATCATCATGCTGGGGGCTGCACAGTCCCATCCCCCCCGAGATCCAGGCCCCCGCTGTGCTGAGCATCTCTCAGAGCCTCCTTGATGCAAGCCAGGGCGGCATGATTTATATCCTTCCTTTTCACCAGCTTTTCCTTGTACTTCACTTCTTTTTCCCGCACCAGGTGCGTTCGCACGGCTTGCTCTCAGCCCGCAGCGCCGAACCTTTCCCAACTGCCTGTCCCGGTGAGGGGCACACCCTCAAGTGTCCCCTCCCTGAACCTCCAGCTTCCCAAATCGGACAGCTAGTGGTTCATAGCCAGCCACTGCTGTCTCCTTTGTGGCCCTGAAATTACAACAGCTGACAAACGTACCTGCCTTTCCGTCTGTAGCAGGCCATAGAGCCACCTGAACAGGTCCTGTCTGGAGGAAGTCAGGTGGCACTGACCATGCTGGGCTGTTCCTGCCACCTGCTGGGAAGCCGGGCAGCACTCGAGCGGAGCTGGAGGAGGATCCCAGAGGGACACCTGCCCCTGACTGAGACCCACGAGCCTAGCCATGAAACCCAGGAGGCTTACAGCTAAGGCCTTTGTGCTACTTGTGGCCTGGCTGTTTGTGCCAAGGAGGCAGGGCTAACACCCTGCACAGCAGTGAAGCCAGGGGCTAGCGACCTAGGCTCTCTGCTTGGCCTCTGGGGCTAGGCACCGGAGGCCTTTCTGGCTCCCTTTTTTCCGGTGCTTTGGTCAGGCTGCAGTTGCTGGAGTGGAAATCAATGCCCCACTAAGGCCTTTGTGCTACTTGTGGCCTGGCTGTTTGTGCCAAGGAGGCAGGGCTAACACCCTGCACAGCAGTGAAGCCAGGGGCTAGCGACCTAGGCTCTCTGCTTGGCCTCTGGGGCTAGGCACCGGAGGCCTTTCTGGCTCCCTTTTTTCCGGTGCTTTGGTCAGGCTGCAGTTGCTGGAGTGGAAATCAATGCCCCATTTGCATGGCTCCCAGCAGGGGTGGCTGGAGTCTGCCAGTGGGGTACACGAGTCTTTCAGGGCCTCTCTTACCTTGGCTGCTGAATCGCCTGAGTACAGGCCCCAGACCCCCGTGCGGTCAGGGCAGCCTGCCCTTGCCTAGCCGGCACTCGCAGGGGCCAGTGGCTCAAGTGAGGGGCGGGAGACAAATCACACTGCTGAAAGGAGCATCCCAGAAAGGGGAGAGCCACTGGCCTTAAGCACGGCAGCTGAGAAGCCAGGCCCGGTTCATAAAGCGACACCTGGCCAGGGAGATGGCATCCCTTCAGTCCAGCTGTCTGGGGACGGCGCCGTTAATGCCACAGGATGTGCCATTGTTTGTTTTCCTACTTGCAAGCAGGAATAAGAGATCCTCCGGAAAAGGGCTTTATTCCGGAGGATCGCGCCAGTCTGGACGCTCTTTTCCGGCTTTTCCCCAAGCCGGAAAAAAAGCGGCGGCCATGTTTATTTAAATCCCGTGGGGGATATTTAAATCCCCTGTGCATTTCCCTATTCTGACTTCTCTCATTTCCATAGCTATTATGGATTATGTGGCCAGTGTAGACACAGCCCCTGTATTGGAAAGAAAGGAAAGATTTGGATCCACCCTGCCCCAAGCTCAGGGCCCCCCTTTGTGCTGAGTGTTGCTCAGACCACCCGTCCCTTATGCAGGAAGCTTCATTGGTCACCTGTCATGGGCTCCCAGGTGGTGCCCACGCTTGGCCTGAATGATCCCCAGGGGACCCCTCCAGCATAACCGCCCCATCCCAGGGGCCACTCTGTCGGGGGTTACCCCCCCAGCTCTGGGGACCGCTCCTGTCTGAGCTCCCAGCGCGCCTGGCTCTGCCCTGGGCCCCTCGGGGAGTCCACTCGCTCTGGGCTCTGGGGCCTCCACTCTCAGGGGGGTCAGTGCAGCCCTGTTCTCAGACCGGAGCGACTCTCCGCCAGCGGCACACAGGAGGGTTCATTGAGCACTGAACCCAGCACAGGAACTCTCAGGCCTGCAGGCCTGGCCCCCCTCAGCCCAGCACGTCTGAGTCTCCCCTGCAGCCAGGTGGGCTCTGCCTGCTCCCCCTGCCCAGGCCAGCAGCCCCCTCCTCCCAGCCCAGCCCCCAAATCCCTCCCCAGCAGCCCCTCCCCTGGCCTCTGTCTTCTGTCGCCTGGGCCCCCCTCTTCTCCACTCTCCTCTCCTCCGTCCTTTCTCCTCCTGGCTAGGACCTGGGCAGGTCACCGGGGTCCTCTCCCTGCAGCCCATTGGCCTCCCACTGCCAGACCCGGCTGTGCCATCCAGCTGGGTGTCCCGGTCACTAGTCACTGGGGGCTCCAGTTCTCTGCTGGTCCCTGTAATAACAAACTCCCTCCCCCTCCCCTGGTTAAACCAGTAACAGCCGGGGACACTGAGTGCCCCTGCAGGAATCCCCTTCAAACCCCCTCCTGGTCACACCACCTGCCCTGCTGCAGTGGGGTCTCTGCTGAGGCTGTGTCTGGCTTGTGTTGGATGCTCTGGAGCAGGGTGAGGAACCTTCTTTGGGTGGGGGGCCACTGACCCACAGAAAACTCAGTTGAGGGCCGTGCACAAGTGAGAAGCAAAAACCCAAACCAGACAAAACCCACCCCATTGCTGTGGCCCTGACTGAGCAGGAGAAGGACGCGCCCCACATTCCCCTCCCACTGGAGCCTCTGGGTGCCCAGGCTGCAGGCTCCAGCCCTGCAGTGGGATGGTGGGAGGGCTGGAGCATCAGTATGGACTCCTCAATGCTGGGGGAAGCCCTGAGCTGCAGAGGCCGAATGCAGGTGAGCCTGAAGTTCCCCACCCCTGCTCTAAATCCCCAGGGGGCCACTGGCTGAATTTCACTCACGTGGGTTTGTGGGGAGCCTCCCTGCCTGATGACAAAGCTCTTTCTGGAGCCCAGCCCAGGGGAAAAATATCTCTAGCCCCACATCCACCTGCTACCCGGTTCTCTTTACTTCCATACTGGGTCACCTCCTTGGTGTGAATGTCGCCTCTTCATGCATTTATTTGTGCACGGTCAGCATCATCCGCCTTTGCTAATTCCACAGCGGTTCTGGTCCCAGGCTCTGGCTGGTGCTGCCCCATTCACCCCTTGTTAATTCCCGCAGCGGTTCTGGTCCCAGGCTCTGGCTGGTGCTGCCCCATTCACCCCTTGTTAATTCCCGCAGCGGTTCTGGTCCCAGGCTCTGGCTGGTGCTGCCCCATTCACCCCTTGTTAATTCCCGCAGCGGTTCTGGTCCCAGGCTCTGGCTGGTGCTGCCCCATTCACCCCTTGTTAATTCCCGCAGCGGTTCTGGTCCCAGGCTCTGGCTGGTGCTGCCCCATTCACCCCTTGTTAATTCCCGCAGCGGTTCTGGTCCCAGGCTCTGGCTGGTGCTGCCCCATTCACCCCTTGTTAATTCCCGCAGCGGTTCTGGTCCCAGGCTCTGGCTGGTGCTGCCCCATTCACCCCTTGTTAATTCCCGCAGCGGTTCTGGTCCCAGGCTCTGGCTGGTGCTGCCCCATTCACCCCTTGTTAATTCCCGCAGCGGTTCTGGTCCCAGGCTCTGGCTGGTGCTGCCCCATTCACCCCTTGTTAATTCCCGCAGCGGTTCTGGTCCCAGGCTCTGGCTGGTGCTGCCCCATTCACCCCTTGTTAATTCCCGCAGCGGTTCTGGTCCCAG